CGTAAAATGACAGAGCGGGGTCAGCGCACGCTGAAGCGCCAAAATCGCCAACTGTCTGTACAGTCAATAGCTAAAGACCTCCAAACTTCATGCGGCCTTCCGATTAGTACACCAACAGTGCGTAGAGAGCTTCGTGAAATGGGTTTCCATGGCCGAGCAGCTGCATCCAAGCCTTACATCATCAAATGCAATGCAAAGCTTTGGATGCAGTAGTGTAAAGCATGCTGCCACTGGAATCCAGAGCAGTGGAGACGTGTTCTCTGGAGTGATGAATCATGCTTCTCTGTCTGGCAATCCGATGGAAGTGTCTGGGTCTTGCGGTTGCCAGCAGAATAGTACTTGCCTGACTGCATTGTGCCAAGTATAGAGTTTTGTGGAGGGGGGATTATAGTGTGGGATTGGTTTTCAGGGATTGGGCTTGGCCCCTTAGTTCCAAAGAAGGAAACTCTTAAGGCGTAAACATACCAAGACATTTTGTACAATTTCATGCTCTTAGCTTTGTGGGAACAGTTTGGGGATGGCCCCTTCCTGTTCCAACATGGCTGCACACCAGTGCACAAAGCAAGGTCCATAAAGACATGGATGAGTGAGTTTGGGGTGGAGGAACTTGACTGGCCTGCACAGAGTCCTGACCTCAACCTGATAGAACACCTTTGGGATGAATAAGAGCAGAGACTGTGAGCCAGGCCTTCTCGTCCAACATCAGTGCCTGACCTCACAAATGCACTTCTGGAAGAATGGTCAGACATTCCCATAGACACACTCCTATACCTCGTGGATGGCCTTCCCAGAAGAGTTGAAGCTGTTATAGCTGTAAAGGGTGGGCCAACTCAATTTTGAACCCTGCTTACTAAGACTGGGTCGCCATTAAACTTCATGTACGTGTAAAGGCAGGCGTCCCAATTCTTTTGACAATATAGTGTATAAATAATACACTAGGGGGAGATTCACTAAAACTGGAGCAATTAGAATCTGGTGCAGCTGTGCATGGTAATCCGCTTTTAACTTCAGCTTGTTCAATTAAGCTTTCACAGTAAGGCTAGGTTCATACCCCACCCCCTGCTAACTTGCCGACCTCCTCCACTCTTTCTACCACTCCATCCCCCACAGCTATCTCCTCCTGTGCCACCATCCCCTCCCTCCTAGATTGTAAGCTTGAAAGAGCAGGGCCCTTGATCCCTTCATGTTTTGCATTGTATTGGTATTGTTCTGTCACATGTTCTGTCCCCCTTTGTAATGTACAGCGTTGAGCGAACTATTGGCGCTTTATAAATACTGTATAATAATAATAATAATACCTATGCAGTTTGCATTTGAGCCGTTTCTGCATTGCATTTTGCGTTACGGTTTTGCCATGTTTTTGATGTGTTTTTTGTTTTGTTTTTTTTCTTGTTGCTAAGCAGATTTAAAATGTAAAACGCATTAAAAACGTGGCAAAAATGCACTACATGCTTTTCTGCAGCATTTCCATTTAAGTCTACAGAACCAAAAATGTAACGTTTTGCGTTCAAAAAAAGTCCCTGACCCTTTCCAAAAAATGCACCGGGTGAAAACGTGGAGATATGAACGTGTCCCATAGGAAATCATGTTAAATGGACTGTATTGCATTTCTGCAAAACGCTGTAGAGAATGCTTGGGTGTGAACCTAGACTAAAACCTGGAAGCCGATTGGTTTATATGCAGAGCTGCACCAGATTTTGCACCATGCAGTTTTAGTAAATCAACCCCACTGTGTGCACAATTATTGGGCAAGTGAGTATTTTGACCAAATCATCATTTTTATGCATACTGTCCATCTCCAAACTGTGTAAACTTGAATGCTTATTTGATTTATATCAGTTGATATGTACAGGTGAAACTCGAAAAATTAGAATATTGTGGAAAAGTTCATTTATTTCAGTAATGCAACTTAAAAGGTGAAACTAATATATGAGATAGACTCATCACATGCAAAGCAAGATAGTTCAAGCCGTGATTTGTCATAATTGTGATGATTATGGTTTACAGCTCATGAAAACCCCAAATCCACAATCCTAAGAAATTAGAATATTACAAGCATCAATAAAACAATGATTGAACATAGAACAATATCGGACCTCTGAAAAGTATAAGCATGCATATGTACTCAGTACTTAGTTTGGGACCCTTTTGCAGCAATTACCGCCTCAATGCGGCGTGGCATGGAAGCTATCAGCCTTTGGTACTGCTGAGGTGTTATGGAAGACCAGGATGCTTCAATAGCGGCCTTCAGCTCTTCTGCATTGTTCGGTCTCATGTCTCTCATCTTTCTCTTGGCAATGCCCCATAGATTCTCTATGGGGTTCAGGTCAGGCGAGTTTTCTGGCCAAACAAGCACAGTGATCCCACAGTCATTGAAGCAGGTTTTGCTGCTTTTGGCAGTGTGGGCAGGTGCCAAGTTCTGCTGGAAAATGAAGTCAGCATCCCCATAAAGCTCGTCTGCGGAAGGAAGCATGAAGTGCTCCAAAATCTCCTGGTAGATGGCTGCGTTGACCCTGGACTTTATGAAGCACAGTGGACCAACACCAGCAGATGACATGGCTCCCCAAATCAACACAGACTGTGGAAACTTCACACTGGACTTCAAGCATCTTGCAGTGTGTGCCTCTCCATTCTTCCTCCATACTCTGGGTCCTTGGTTTCCAAATGAGATGCAAAAGTTGCTCTCATCAGAAAAGAGGACTTTGGACCAATGAGCAACAGAACAGGTCTGTTGTTCTTTAGCCCAGGTAAGACGCTTCTGACATTGTTTTTCAGGAGCGGCTTGACAAGAGGAATACGACATTTGAAGCCCATGTCCAGGATCCATCTGTGTGTGGTGGCTCTTGATGCACTGGCTCCGGCCTCAGTCCACTCCTTGTGAAAGCCCCCAACACTTTTGAATGGCCTTTTCCTGACAATCCTCTCCAGGCTGCGGTCATCCCTGCTGCTTGTGCACGTTTTTCTTCCACACTTTTCCCTTCCACATAACTTTCTATTAATGTGCTTTGATACAGCACTTTGGGAACATCCAACTTCTTTTGCAATTACCTTTTGAGGCTTTCCCTCCCTATGGAGGGTGTCAATGATGGTTTTCTGCACAAATGTCAGGTCAGCAGTCTTTCCCATGATTGTGATTATAACTGAACCAGACTGAGAGACTATATAAAGGCTCAGGAACCCTTTGCAGGTGTTATGGCTTAATTAGCTGATTAGAGTGGGACACTTTGAGCCTAGAATATTGCACCTTTTCACAATCTTCTAATTTTCTGAGATTGTGGATTTGGGGTTTTCATGAGCTGTAAGCCATAATCATCACAATTATGACAAATCACGGCTTGAACTATCTCATATATTAGTTTCACCTTTTTAAGTTGCATTACTGAAATAAATAAACTTTTGCACCATATTCTAATTTTTTGAGTTTCACCTGTATTTGTGTAATGAGAGAGGGTGTGGCCTAAGGAGATCAACACCCTATATTAAGGTGTGCATAATTAGTAGGCATCTTCTTTTCCTCAGGCAAAATGGGCCAAAAAGAGATTTAACTGACTCTGAAAAGTCAAAAATTGTAAAGACTTTCAGAGGGATGCAGCACTCCTGAAATCTCTAAGAAATTGGGACATTATCACATAACCATCAAACGTTTTGTTGCAAATAGTCAACAGGGTCGCAAGAAATGTGTTGAGAAAAAAAGCAAATTAACTGGCAAAGATTTGAGAGGAATCAAACGTGAAGCTATCAGGAACCCATTGTCCTCCATTGCTGTCATATTCCAGAACTGTAACCTACCTGGAGTGCTCAGTAGTACAACATGTTTAGTTGTCAGAGACATGGCCAGGGTAAGGAAGGATTTTTCAATGGTTTTATGGACTGATGAGATGAGTGACTCTTGACGGGCCAGATGGATGGGCCCATGGCTGGATCGGTAACGGGTACAGAGCTCTATTTCGACTCGGGATCCAGCAAGGTGGAGTACTGGTATGGCTGGTATTATTAAAGACAAGCTAGCTGGACCATTTTGGGTTGAAGATGGACTCGAAATCAACGCCCAAACCTACTGCCAGTCTTTATAAGATACCTTTCTTCAAGCAGTGGTACAGGAAAGTCTGCATCTTTCAAGAAGACCATGATATGTATGCAGGACAATGCTAAATATCATGCATTGAAGTACTCCACTGCATGGCTAGCCAATAAAGGCCTTTAAAGATGAAAAAATAATGACATGGCCCCCTTCCTCATCTGACCGAAACCCTATTGAGAACTTGTGGGCCCTTCTTAAACCGGAGATTTACAGTGAAGGAAAACCATACACCTCTCTGAACAGTGTCAGGGAGGCTGTGGTTGCTGTGGCACAACAAATTGATCGTCAACAGATCAAGAACCTGACAGACTCCATCAATGGAAGGTTTATGACTGTTATTAAAAAGATGGGTGGCTATATTGGTCACTGATTTTTTTTTTTTTTTTTTTCTGTCAGAATTGTTTATTTGTAAATTTTGAGTTGTTTGTTCTTCTCACTTTTCATTTAGTTGCATAATAATTTTTCACTCAAATAGTTGCCCAATGATTGTGCACACATAGATATTCTCCTAAGAAAGCCAAAACCTGACTTTTACTTTCTTAAATATTCAGGTTTTTGGTTTATTAACATTTTGGATTGACCAAGAGCAGTTGTTCAGTATTGAAATGAATCCTCAAAAATACAACTTGCATAATAATTGTGCACACAGCATAACTTTGCATTAATAACAATTTTAATTGGCTATAGGTTGTCATGTGCAGTTCAGTGTATCAGTTTTTGCCACTGCATTTTGTAAAGAATGGAAATTTGCTTTACTGTATTAGTGAAATGAAAGTGATGCAGTTATTGTACACTGCTGCTCTGTGTTCATTGCATACTAAATGAAGATGGTTAGCTATTGCGTTCTCCATTTTAGTAGATCTGTTCAGCATTTGTTTAGTTTTTTTTTGTGACTAATAAGATGTTTTGATCTCCACAGGCTGACTTTGTCAAGGTCGCTCACCCTGACTCCTCTTTCAAAGATGCAGCTGAGGAAGCCTGCAGGAACATAAGTACCATGGTGGAAAAGTATGTCACCAATATCTCTGCCACATTTTGCTCTTAAGTTTGAATAGAAGAGTGCTATGCATTTTAACTACTACTTTGAGCGGAAGCTGGTGGTAGTAGTCTCCATTCTAACCAATTGCTGCAGCTTTCAGTGCTGTTCTCATTTGTTGGAAGTTGCTTAAAATGTCTTTAACTGCTGTGAATATAAGATTAAGTTTGCAGTATACCATTGACATCTTTAACACATGTACATTTATTATTCTTCACTCGTAAAGTTTAGTTTAAAGTGGAACTTTACCCAAGACAACTTGATAAAAAATAATATTCTTTAGCAAGGAACATACCGTATTTTGCGCTCCATAAGACGCACTTTTTTCCCCCAAAAAAAAAGGGGGAAAATGTCAGTGCGTCTTATGGAGCGAATATAAAGCGGCCGGTCCGGTATTTCTGCCGCCACCATGTCAGAATATCGGGCCAGCCGCTCAGCTGTTCTCGCCTGCAGGGCCTTACCTGTTCCTCGCTCCAGCGCTGCACAGTCTTCCCGCGCTGGCTTCTGTGACAGCCGGGTGCCCACTGCGCATGTGCTGCGCTTTGTGAATGATCCGGTGTTTTCTGGGACACATGACAGGTCCCAGAAGGCGCCGGCCATTCACGAAGCGCAGCGCTTCTCGCGCATGCGCAGTGGGCACCCGGCTGTCACAGAAGCTGGCGTGGGAAGAAGAGGGAAAGACAACTCCGGGGAAGTGGGAGCGGGTACCTGTCAAATTCAGGTACCCGCTCCCCCTCCCTCCCCAAAGGTCAGCAGTCTCTGGTCATGCCCCTGCACTGTCTGCAGTCTCTGGTCATCCCCTGCACTGTCTGCAGTCTCTGGTCATCCCCTGCACTGTCTGCAGTCTCTGGTCATCCCCTGCACTGTCTGCAGTCTCTGGTCATCCCCTGCACTGTCTGCAGTCTCTGGTCATCCCCTGCACTGTCTGCAGTCTCTGGTCATCCCCTGCACTGTCTGCAGTCTCTGGTCATCCCCTGCACTGTCTGCAGTCTCTGGTCATTCCCTGCACTGTCTGCAGTCTCTGGTCATTCCCTGCACTGTCTGCAGTCTCTGGTCATTCCCTGCACTGTCTGCAGTCTCTGGTTATTCCCTGCACTGTCTGCAGTCTCTGGTTATTCCCTGCACTGTCTGCAGTCTCTGGTTATTCCCTGCACTGTCTGCAGTCTCTGGTTATTCCCTGCACTGTCTGCAGTCTCTGGTTATTCCCTGCATTGTCTGCAGTCTCTGGTCATCTGTACTGTGTCCCTGGTATTTTCCCTGTACTATGTCCGCAGTCTCTGGTCATCTCCTGTACTGTGTCCGCAGTCTCTGATCATCTCCTGTACTGTGTCCGCAGTCTCTGATCATCTCCTGTACTGTGTGTCCGCAGTCTCTGGTCATCTCCTGTACTGTGTCGCAGTCTCTGGTCATCTCCTGTACTATGTCCGCAGTCTCTGGTCATCTCCTGTACTGTGTCCGCAGTCTCTGGTCATCTCCTGTACTGTGTCCGCAGTCTCTGGTCATCTCCTGTACTGTGTCCGCAGTCTCTGGTCATCTCCTGTACTGTGTCCGCAGTCTCTGGTCATCTGCTGTACTGTGTCCGCAGTCTCTGGTCATCTCCTGTACTGTGTCCGCAGTCTCTGGTCATCTCTGCTGTACTGTGTCCGCAGTCTCTGGTCATCTCCTGTACTGTGTCCGCAGTCTCTGGTCATCTCCTGTACTGTGTCCGCAGTCTCTGGTCATCTCCTTGTATTACTGGATTTTAAAAGTATAAGCACTTATTTTTTTATGTTTTACATTGCTATACCTGCAAAAGGGTCCGGCATGAGGTAATCTAGTAGGACTTAATTTTCTGACTGACGTTGCACTTTAACTAGTTGCCGACCGCAGATAGCCGAATGACGGCTGCAGTGCGGCCGGCCAGTTCTGGGAGGGCGTCATATGACGTCCTCCCAGAACACGCTCTCCTGCACGCCCCTGGGGGTGCGCACCTGGCGATCTCCGTGATCGCTGTGTCCTACAGGCACAGCTGATCACGTGATGTGGTAAAAGGCCAATCACAGCGGCCTTTTGCCACATGATCAGCTGTGTCCAATGACACGCTGATCATCGGGAAATGCAATTGCCAGTTCTCGGCTGCACTTTCCTCGCGCTGTCAAAGCGTGAGGAAAGTACTGCCGAGAACTGGCAGTTGTCAAAACAGGGATCTGCACCGATCATCAGGGCACTGATGATCAGTGCCTTGATGATTGGTGCCCAGCAGTGCCACCCACCTGTGCCCAGCAGTGCCGCGAGTCAGTGCCAAGCAGTGGCGCCAATCAGTGCCGCCTCATCAGCGCACATCAGTGAAGGAGAAAAATTACCTGTTTGCTAAATTTTATAATAGAAACCAAAAAAATGTTTTGCTCTTTTTTTTGTTTATAGTGCAAAAAGTAAAACACCCATCGGCAAGTAAATACCGGCAAGTAAATACCTGTTTGCAAAATTTTATAATAGAAACACAGAAAAACTTCTGTTTTTCAAATTTTTTGCTCTTTTTTTTGTTTAAACAAAAAATAAAACACCCAGCCCGAGTAAATACCACCAAAAGAAAGCTATATTTGTGAGGGAAAAAAATTATAAAAAATTCATATGAGTACAGTGTTGTATGACTGCGCAATTGTCATTCAAAGTGCAACAGCGCTGAAAGCTGAAAATTGGCCTGGTAAGGAAGGGGGTATATGTGCTCGGTAGGCAAGTGGTTAAAGAGCATCAGATTCAGCAAGTATTTGGAAAGCATTTATTTAGCTTCAAGCGGCTGTATTGAAGCCCTTTAAGCTCTTTTGAGCTCCAGCCTAAGACTATCTAATGGAGGTCATAATAAAAGCTTTAAAACTGACTTCTGATCCCCTCTGCTGTACTCTGTGGTTCTTTCCATATACTCCTGTGTTATTACTGTATCCTGCCGTAGGGAGGATTGAAAGTAAAATGGCTCTAAAACACTTTTAAAATGTAAAACGTTGGTAAAAAAAAAAAGCTATTTTATTTGTCAGTTGACTGGCACAGAAAGTCTGAAGCCTTTGAGCTATATTGATGCCTACAGGAAGGATTGCACACTGGTTAAAAAAAAAACTATATATCAACCCAGGATAGTCCATCCTGCTACCAGCATGCCTCAGTTTTGTGCTTGTAACCTAGGTGAATGGATGTCTTTTCTTCATCTCTGCTGTCTTAACCGCTTCCCGTCCGCCCGATAGCAGAAGTACTGCAACGGGGCGCACAGGTTTGCAAAATCACATGTGTATATATACGTGATCTTGCATTTCTGGGTAGGGGGCGTGCGCCCTACCTGCACCGCCAATCGCGGCTGTCAATCACAGGGTCCCGGCCAGTGATTACTCAGCATCTCCGATCTCCGGGGGGGAGAGCTGTTTGTAAACAACAGTTTTCTCCCCTGTCCGCTCCTGCGCACTACTTCACATGGCTGTGCATAACACAGCCATGCAAAGCAATGTGCTTACAGTGAAGCACAAACACAGCCACACACTGTAAAACAGCACACAGTTAACCCTTTGATCACCCCACATGTTAACCCCTTTCTGCCCAGTGCCATTAGTACAGTGTCAGTGCTTTTTATTATCATTGATTACTGTATTGGTGTCGGTGACACAAAGTCAGTTCCCCTCGGTGTCAAAATGCCCGCTGCAGTCCCGCTATAAGTTGCTGATTGCTGCCATTACTAGTAAAACTTTTAAAAAAAATCCCTGTGTGTGTATATATACCACCATTTGTAAACACTATAACTTTCATGCAAACCGAATAATTTACACTTATTGGGATTTTTTTTAAGCAAAGACATAGCAGAATACATTTTGGCCTAAATTTATGACATTAGATTTTTTTAAAAAAATTTTTACTGGACATGTTTAATAGGGAAAAAAAATCAAAACTATAGTTGTTTTTTTTTTTTTCAAAATTGTTGGTAATTTTTTTTTTTTATACTGCAAAAAATAAAAAATGCACCAGCGATCAAATACCACCAAAAGACCGCTGTATTCATGGGAAAAAAGGATGTAAATTTCATTTGGGTGCAGCGTTGCATGACCGCGCAATTGTCAGTTAAAGTAATGCAGCGCCCTAACACACAAAATGGCCTGGTCAGGAAGGGCAGTAAATCCTCAGGAGGGCAAGTGGTTAAAGACTAACCTGTTTTTGCTAGCAGGCTCATCTCTATGTTGCTTCTGGAGCTTGTCTCATCAAGTGCAGCTCTCTGGCACAGTTATAAGCCTGGCTTTTACAGTATTATGCCCAGGCCCTGCTGGACTGAACATTGTAATAATAAACCCCAAAAAAAACAAATGCGCTGTAGAAATGTAAACATCCCTTGTGACAGCAATAGGCAGTGACAGGTATTCTTTATTGAGAGATCTGGGGTCAACAAGACCCAGATCCCTCTTCTGCACTTAAAAGCATTTGATCACTTCACGATCGGTGTGCTCAAAAGCTTTCTATTTATAAAAGTGGCACCGGGGAAACTGGAAGTGATGTATGATCATCTCTTCCTGCTTCCTATGTCATAGAGGTGGGCAGACTGATTGCAGTTTTTGTCTGCCCCTTAGAGGTGTAGCTAGAACCTTCAGAGCCCCATTGCAAAAAAACCAATTAGGACCCTTGGGGACCTTTTCATCGGTGCCGTGATCCTTCCCACTGATCCCAAAGCCATTTATTATAGTCCCGCAGCAGGCCGCTTTCCTGTTGTCTTGGGGCCCTCATATGGTAGTGAATTACTAGGACCTGGTCGCAAGTGCGACTTTTGAGACCCTGGTAGTTCCACCACTTGGTTAATCATGTACAGTCACCAGGTATCTTCTAGCAATGAAAGTTTAATTGCTAGAAGATTCCTAGTGACTGGACGTGGTTAACCTTTTTATTGCTGACAGATGAGATCCCAGTTGGAAGTGCATGATTAACCCTTTCAGATATGTCGGAAGCATATGACTAACCATTTAAATGCTAACCGATCCCTAATGCAAATGGCTATTTCCACCAGGGATCTGCTAGCAATGAAATGGTTAATCATATGCTTCCAACACTTATCTGAAACACTTATCACGCACTTCCAACTGGGATCTCATCTGTTGGCAATAAAAGGGTTAACCATATCCACTCACTATCTTCTAGCAATGAAAGGGTTAGCATGTGCTTCCTGATCACTCAGCCGCTACACAGCACACATACATACTAGTCCTGCAGCTTTCTCTCAAATCGGCACACCTATGGCAAGGAGTGATCAACTCCGAGGCCTGCCACACCCCCTCCTGGAGTTCCACCCAATCAGTGTGAGCCTGGCAACAGGCTCCACCTCTGGGTTGGGGGGAGGAGTAGAACACTAAGGAGCCGCCTGATCTCTGCTGGGGAGAAGGTACTGATCTATCCACCACTGCCGCCTCTATTATCAGTCGGCAGAAGCACCGGCTAGTCGATAGGGACAGCCCACGGGAGGGCATCTCTAAACCCTGCTGCTTGCCTGCAGCAGCGCTAAATGTGAAAAATAACTGCCTGTTCCGGGCGTCGGGCGATAGGAATGCAACATCCCTGCCCATGACCTGACGAGGCCCAGCTTTCTGACACTGGGCCCCACATTGCACTCCAGAATTCTTTGGTAGTCTTCAAATTTCTTAATGCCATTTAATGTCACAATGTCATTTAAAACGCCTAAGGCTGAAACGACTTTCATTTGCAATGGCTTCCCCTATTACATGTCTATGGAGAGTGGAAGCATCTAGATATTTGCTCCACAAATCCCATATTAGCCTTGTATCTGGTTTGTGAGGATTTTGTACAGGAGTATATTTCGATTTTCTTATAGTGTGTACCCTACTTAAGAAACAGACCATCTTCTCCCTCTCTGACTATTAAGAAACATCTTTTGTTTCTCCACTCCCTTGACCTCCACGCTTTAACCCCCCAAGCTTGCCTCCCATTTTTTTTTTTCCTTTTTTTTTTTCATCCACAGCACTAGGTGTACACCATATTCAGCTCTCTCAAAAATGCACAAGTGGTGGCTCTCATTACTAACAGCACTTGTAATATATGTGCCATTGCAGCAAAGCCTCTAATTTTACTATCTATATTGCTATATTGTCTCTATCATTCATTGGAAACATTGTGTTCTGTAACAGAAGAATGATATATTTTCAAACAATTGTAAAACACACTGTTACTAAAGAATATGGAAAAAAATTGAATGCTAAAAAGAATCTGTACTGAGGAAATGTGGAGACAGCCGTTGCGGATCCTTTTCTTGGCTATTTTACTGATCCAGTGACTTCAATACTGAAGTAATAACCTGGATCAAGTATGCAAATGCAGTGTTCTCATTTTTTAAGTGACTCAAAGTATTAAATATGGAAGCATTCAGGCAATTACATTTTCAGAAGGCGTTTAAAATTGGAAGACCTAAGTTGCTCTGTAGAAGTTTCCAGGTACCAGTTACCTGTATGTACAACCTCAATTCTCCCAAAAGAGTTGGGACACTGTGTAAACGCTGCATAAAACAGAATGCAATGATTTGCAAATCTCGTAAACCCATATTTTATACATAATAGAAAACATATCAAATGTTTAAAATGAGAAAATGTACAAT